TTCAAGCCGAACACATCTACAGTTGATGACGAACATGATGCAGGGCATTGGTGTAATGCAGTTATACGCTCGTAAAATTCAAGATATTGGGGGAAAACTTCCCTGTATGAGATTTTGTCTCATATTTATGTAATTTATATAGTTAAGCAATATCACACAAGGCTAAATCAATTTAGCCTATTCATTAGGCTAAGTCCAATCTTTCTATTTCTTTTTGGAATTATTACTGGACACATTTCATTGTCTTTTCAAATATGTTTAATTGCCTCACGTTTAACATTTGAAGCGTTGTTTTTAAATTTATAGCCAAGCAATAAAATAGTCCTTATGTATGAATCCCTAAATTATTGATTGAAAATGAGTTGGTTCTGAGTAAAAACAGTATAAGCTTTTATTTATTCATTCATTCATTCATTCATTACAGTTCCAGAGCTACCGGTTAGAACGAAATAAAACATTAGCCTACTGCTCCGAAACAAATGTCATTTAAAATGATATTTGTATATTTAAATATTCATTTTATTAGAAAACGTTCATGCTCCCAATGCTGCCGCTGTCAACACATCACATTCCGGCAGCTGACAGAAGAGCTGCAGTGAATTTCCTCATTGATTTGACACAAAAAAATTATATATAATTAAACTGTATATATAAAATGATTTTATTTACAGGTGTCATATTTGTGATTGTTTAATGCCGGATAGTTTTTAAGGATAGTTAATCGTTACCTTCCTATATTTGTTATGAAATAAAATCCGTTATGAAGAATATTCTTTATGAAGTTTATTTAGGCCTATTATTCAAGACGAATTTTAAGAAAAAGTTAAATGTTTTTAAATGTAAGAAAAAATAGAATTGGTCTATTCTATAGATAGGCCTGTATGTAGGCTAATTCTATTTTTTCTTAACTTTTATTGGACTGCAGATCGAAATAAAAAATAATTTTGGATAATATCTGTAAAATGAGAGATATGACATTGTTAATTTAGGACTATTTTCTTTCTTCGACCCTAGAAAAACAAATAGTCTAAAACCATTTAACTTGCAATGTTATTATGGAATAAAAGAAACATCAAAACAAGATGTGTAATTAAGAAAAAATAGTTGACAAAATTACAAAATTAACGATGAATTAGGCATATGTTAGACAGTGAGATCATCTCCACTACATAGCCGCATATAGCCTACAATATACAATGAGCTCAACCAATAATGTATTAAAGACCAGAAAGTACAACTAAATAAATGGATAAATAAATATGGAAATTAACACATCTGAATACATAAATATAAATATAAATAAACGTTAAAAAAGAATAAACTAATTTTAAAATATTACAGAAAATAATAAATGAAGGGAAGAAGTAATATAAATTCAGGATTAAATGCAGTTAAAATGCATTATATAATTCATTTTAATTACATTTAATCCTGAATTTATTTTGAATTCTTCCCTTCATTTATTATTTTCTGTATTATTTCTGTATACATAGGCTACATATACATTTCTGCAGGTTTGGGCCTCCATACTGATTTTGGAGGATTTTGAAACACTTTTGGGCCTAATTTTAGGCTAATACATTAACTTACTTCAATAATATTCAGACAGGTGAACAATATTAACTGCTTGTCCAGGAAACCACCTGTGACATTTAATCCTGAATTAATTTTGAATTCTTCCCTTCATTTATTATTTTCTGTATTATTTCTGTATACATAGGCTACATATACATTTCTGCAGGTTTGGGCCTCCATACTGATTTTGGAGGTCAACACTTTTGGGCCTAATTTTAGGCTAATACATCAACTTCAATGATATTCAGACAGGTGAACAATATTAACTGCTTGTCCAGGAAACCACCTGTGAAGTAATCTTTCTCCTTCAAATCCTGGAAACGATTAATCCAGTACTGAGCATGCTGTTTTCTCATGAATGCCCACCAGCTCTCAATGCGCTGATTGTGGTTGCTTGAACCATAGATGAAGCAGTTTTCTGCATATTCGTCGTGGTCATCATAGCGTAGGAACTTCTGCATTTGTTCCACATAACAGTTCTCTGTTCCCAGGTCTGACCTCATTCTGGCTGGTGTCCCCATCCTTTGTCCAACTGTAATTTATTCCTGTGATTTCAAAGGTGACTTACTCCAGTCACATGATCCTTCAGAAATCATTCTAATATTCTGATTTGCTGCTCAAAAAACATTTATTATTATTATTATACTAAAAAAACAGCGGAGTAGAATTTTTCAGGTTTCTTTGATGGAATAGAAAGTTCAGAAGAACAGCATTTATCGTAAAAATAGAAATCTTTTGTAACATTATAAATGTCTTTATCATCACTTTTGATCAATTCAAAGCATCCTTGCTAAATAAAAGTATTAATTTTTATTCATATTTATTCATATTTTTTAGTCTTTTTTATTCATCTTTAAGTATGTGGAGGACCTGGACACATTTCATATCAAGTTGTGATGAACAAGGCCTGAAGGTCAATGTCATGGTACTTATATAACCTATCAATGCAAGCAATCTTTATTCAGCCTATGTGTGTGTGTTGCCTACTGCATATGGAGAACTGTTGATTCTGTCATTCAAATGTTAACACTTTATGATAAGTGGAACACATCTTTAGAAAATAAAATCAAAATGATACAATACCAACTTTTACAATAATTTTACATACTTTTACAATACCAAAATCTAATTGTCCCCTTTATGAAATCAGCTCTGTATATTAGACATATTAAATATATATTAGATTTAAGTTGTGGCATTTTAGCCTAGACTTCATTTACAAAAATAAGAAAACGTGTATTAGTAAAACTAATGACAATATTTTGTCATACGATAATAAATCATAAATCGGTCAGTGAAGGTGCAGTTCAAGAGACAACCTTTAATTATTTTTCACGGCCCCAGACCAAGGATTAACACAATCCTCTCAGCAGACAAAAACTGGAGCATAATAATTAATGAACGATTTGACTGACAGCAATGGTTCTTGAGGCAAACCTCCGTTAACCTTGTCCAATAGGTGCCTAAACTTATTTGGCCAATGGCGGCCATGTTTTTTGAGATACGCGAATGTCCTCATAGACACTTGTGCCCCTTTGGACGAAGACACTGCATACCAATTTTCAAGTCGATCAGACCAACGGTTGCATAGTTACAGTCATTTTTAGTTTTTTTTCGTCTTATAGCACCACCAAGTGGCAGAATTTTTTTTTTTATTTGACCAAAGATTGAGTTTGCACACGTGTACCGAGTTTGGTGAAGATATCTCATTCCGTTCAGGAGTTATAGCCATTTTAGTAAAAATGGCCCCGTCCCTTACAGACGATTATGCGTCCCTAAGCGACGGTGAGTTTAAATTTTAACTTTTTTTTTATAATGTTTTATACTTACTGTCCAAAGAACATTTCTGCACTGGTTTGGTTCCGATCGGGTGAAAAACCTAGGACTAGTTCGCAAAAGTAGGTTTCTGACAAAATTCAAAATGGCGGAAAAGTTTTATAGACGGAAATGAAATCGGAGATAGTTTTGATTGAGCCAAGGAATCCAATGATATAAGACACTTGAGTCTACGACAAACGGTGTAGGAGTTATGATGGCTTTTGTGTTTTTGATCGCTGTAGCGCCCCCTATTGGCCGATTGCGGTGAGTCTTTGGATCTGACAAGAAGGCCGGACTACTACAATCTGACCAAGTTTCAGCTCTCTAGGCCTTACGGTTTGGGCTGCACGATCAGTTTTAGGGAAGAATAATAATAATAATAAAAATCCTAACAATTACAATAGGGTTTCAGCACTACGTGCTTGAACCCCTAATAATAGCCTACAAGGAAGGAATAACTTACAACGTGCCGTTGAATTACAGAAAGAAAGAAAAAAAAACAAGGTACCGTCACAAAGTTCTTGTTTGGCAAAATTAATATAAGCTATTCTGTGTCTTAAGACAAGTTAAGTTAGAACAAGTTCAATAAAACTATCTTTATTATATTTCTACGGTAGAGGAAAATAGCCAAACCAAAAAGAAACAAAGAAAACTTAATGTAACATTCATAAAACCGTACTCAATGGAATGCGCACATGTGACTGGGGCTAGTGCCATCTAGTGGTCGCTGATTTTCTGTGGCTCAGCTGCCCCAATAGTGTCTGTCTGCCAGTTGCGTGTGGATCGCGAGCTGTGTGTGTGTGGATTGCGCAAGGCTAAAAGGGCGGAACGGAAGTCTCAAAATTCAAATGAATCGACTCAGAAGAGACGTGAATGAATGCACGCGTGTCGCCTGATCCACAAATGCACATTTTAATCGCTACATGCACAAATTATGATATTTTAATACAAACTATAACATTTGTATTCACAAATATGTCTCTATTTGAACAAAATGCTGCACATTAATGTAATTCTTAACTCTGCAGACACCGGTTGAAAAGCATTTGTTTCAGTGTAGTGACGCACATTTGCGAATTTTTCAAATCGTGTACACGTTAATGAATTGCACCAAATGAAATGGTTTCACTGGGCCAGACTCGTGCGGCACACTTGGTGTGGGGGACGTGACATGCTGTAAACTGCGAAAATGAAGTCTTAAAATCCAAATGAACCGAACAAGATCGACTCTTTTCCCCCTGGATGATAGTTGTGCATGAGTTCTGTGTTTGTCCTGAGCAGTTCAACTGCCTGCTCATGAACAGCTATCACAAAACATAAAAACGGTCGTGGACCATCCAGGAAATGACACACAGTTTTAGAATTCAAGGGTGTGTAAACCTTGGGTCATTTTATAAATTCAGTTATTATTTTGTCTTGTGGAGAATATATAAACATATTTTATGTGAAAGGGCTTACAGTAATAAAGAATAACATGCAATTATGAGCACAATTGTATGTATGTATACACACACGAACTTTTTTTAAATTAAACATGATGGTCTCTTCATTCCTCCTCCAAAAAACCGAGGTCTCTTATTGTGCCAACAAATGGCCATTTTTCTGGGCCTTTATAACTTTTAATATATTCCAGTGATGGAAAGTAGCTACAAATAAAGTCTCTTTTAAATACAGAAAAATAAGGTGTCGTCCTTATACATTGTACAGTGTGTATAATGTCATGTCGGTGTATATACACAAAACTGTACTTCCGTCGCGTACAGCAACGTCACTGTGAATCATTGTCATCGCAATGCCTCAACTTCCTGTTTTCGATCCACACACTCTTTAGTGAATAATGGCTGAATTAAACCGACAGCTCCAGGAATATTTGGCTCAGTCTAAAAGCGGCGCGAAGACGATATCACAGTCCAGTTCCAGCACTGCAATAGACATCGATGAACCCACTTCGGTGCCGGGGACCTGGTTCGGCAGGTGGTCGAGTCCGTTCTCTGGATCCAGTAGCCGTGGAGCGTCATCAGGCCAAGGATCGAGCAGCGGCTTCTCGTGGCCGTGGTCATCAGAGCCTGACCCGTGTTTGCCGGGCATGAGTCGATCCCAGCGACTGATCGCGTTCGGAACGTGTATTTTCTTCTCTGCTCTGTGCTTTGGACTGTCTGCACTTTACGCTCCTTTACTGCTACTGAAGGCGCGTAAGTTCGCTCTGCTGTGGTCGCTTGGATCCGTGTTCGCGCTCCTCGGGGCGGCGATCCTCCGCGGACCCAGTAAACTCATTGCAACTCCCACACCGGGAGCCGCGGTGTACCTGTGCTCTCTGGTGGGCACTCTGTATGCGGCGCTGAACCTTCACAGCACGCTGCTCACAGCTATTGGAGCCTGTCTTCAGATCGCTGCTATTGTGGGTTACATCGTGGCTTTGTTGCCGGGTGGGAGTGCCGGGATGAGGTTTGTGGGTGGCATGGCAGTGTCTGCTATTAGAAGAACTGTGACCGGTAAGGCCATGCCTATATGATCAGGCATTTCACGGACTGGGCAACAGACTTTTTTTTTTTAAATCATGGAAGATACTATGTTTTCGCACTTTTTTTCTTCTTTTTTTTTTTGAGTGACTGGTCTGGTACTGCCATGTTTGATTGTGAAACTCTGGCTGTAGCCTATACTGAGTTCAACGTGAACAGCATTCTGTGGATGGGGATATCTAAATGTTTTGTGACTTGCACTGTGACAGGGTCCATATGTATGACCAAGACATCAAATACTACTTACCTTTTAATGTTTCTGAACTCCTCTTGAAACTTTTTGCAAATAAACTTAATAAACAAGCTTACTTTGTGTTCTCTTCAAGCCATTTGGTCTGAATAAAGAGAAGCCATTTATTTAAGGACAGCTCACTTCTGCATCATATATGGTGGTCATAAATGTATAGCATCGCTATCCTGTTCTTTGAGTGTCTCCCATGACACGCAGAAGGCTATAGGTTGGTTCTGGAGCTTTTACTAATGTGCTGACGAGTTAAATCAGGCATGTAAAATGAGAGACATACAAAGTGTGCAGTGCTGATGTATTCCTGGACCAGAGCAAAGGCATAAACACATTCTCAGTAGTTTTGTCAAATCCAGTCATTTCAATAGGAATTCACATAATCGGAAGGTTTGCGTAAGGGCAAAAATGTTCCTAGCACACATTTTGTGTTGACTAGCAGTTAAGCTACTTGTTTTGAAACACTGCAAATAAACACAAAACTAGCACATTGTGAAAATGCGTTTTTTGGTGTGGGCAGAGCTACCCTATACCATAATGCAGAAATAGAAACCAAAAATAGTGCCATTTGCCATGGTTGGCTAAGAGAAAAATCACAGAAGAGAGAGCTTTAGAGATTGTCACTTTATGTAAAATCAGGTCAAGACAGTGTTTAAAGCAGGGCTGCTGTGTTTTCCTGGTGATCTACCTTCCTGCCAAGTTTAGATCCAACTCTAAACGGCACTCTTGAATCAATCAAGTTAGGAAATAAAAAATGTGTGTTATTACAGGGCTGGAACTAAAGGGCAGTCACAACTGACTTTTCACTCCACTGACCAGTCATACACATGCAATTGTGGGAGACTGGAAATGCGAGTTAACATAGTATTGAGTTCCACTGCTTATAAAAATGTAAATGTTGTGAACTGCCTGCGAATTCACAATGAGAAGACGTGAGCAATAGAGAATCTCAGGCTTGTGTGACCACACTTCTAGAGGAAAGCAGAAAAGAAAGGTAGATCTCCAGAATCAGGACCGACGCTGCTGCCTTCAAGAATTGTCATCAGTATCAGAAAAACCACTAAGGAGTGGGTGAAAAAGAAATGACGAGCAGGGAGAGTTTACATAAATTTTGCACAGTCTTATTATGGTTTCATACAAAAAAGGACAAAACAATATGACAACTTTTGTGACAAACTGTACACACAGAAACAAAGTCTGCGACTTTGTTACTCAAAGTAGCCTGGTAAGGTTACAGAAAGATTATATCCATTATTTTACATAAAAATGAAATTAAATAAACAGCGCTGAGACACTGGGGGAATGAAACATTCAAGAGTCAACTTTTCTCTAGTAATAGACATAGTCCACAAGATAATACCAGTTGCAACATTGGCCCTTACCTAGATTGACTTGCATTTGTGCTGGATGACAGAATCTGACTGAGGAAATCAATGGTACACAAAACATTTTGTGTTTATACATCAGAAGCATTAAAGCCCCCCCAAAAAAGAAGGGGCTCGGGTGCTGGTTCAAATTCAGCTGCCACTGTCCAAGTGAATCACAAAGCAGGTCAGTTGCTCAGTGCAGGGAAGTGATGTCTGTTAAGATTTTACAGAGTCGTACCATGCATCACAAATAAAATTTCCTGGACCACAATCAGTCCATTACAAAAGATATTCCTCACTGCACTACGATGAGCCCCCTCTTACATCAGTTATTCTTCTTAGTGCTGATGTAAGGTTAGAACAACTCCATGTAGCATGTGTACACCAAGCAGGTAGCAAGGGGCATCGTAAGCCAAAACATCTGGCCCTGGATAACTGGTACCACCACCTTCCATCCAATACATCATAGAGAAAAAGCTAAACCTTAGCCTCCAATCAGGGTTCCATGCTGATTTTACTGAAGTGCTTCCAGACATCTGTCCAAGCCTGCATAATTGTTCAGACCGTCAAGGAAGCTGGTATTGTAGCCATGTGTGGTTCTTTGTTTACCCTGTCTTCACTGTAGTCGGTTTTACCCCATTGTGCCCAGAAAAGCAGGTGTGACTATTTTTTACCGTCCGCGACCTCCCCTCATAACACCACGTGGAGCCCCTCGCCTGGTATTTGGACCCACATTAGGACCAGGACCACCTGGGTTGGGCGGCCCACCACGGCCCCAACCACCTCTTCCTCCCCGTGATGGAGGCCCATACCCACCTTCGTCTCTTGGTGGTGGTCGACCTATGGTGAGTTAGATAATAATAGTATGCAAAATGCCTTATGTATTTTACATTAAACTAGGGATGCACGATATTGTATTTTTGCCGATATGCCGATATTTTTCAACTCATTTTGGCCGATACCGATTTATTTCCTTTTGTTTGGAAACAACACCAAGACTCTCCTGTGCAGAAATTATAAGCAAAATATTTTTAATTTTGGTTAGTTTTTTGACAAGAACTTATTTGTTAGAATTAAATAAACAATAATGAAGGTTTTTTGACAGCACACTGAAGCTTTGAAAATAACTACAAATAAACTATATATCAATCGCTGCATTTTCCCCCCCAGAAAGATGCGGTATTAACCCAAACATTTTATTTTAAGATTTAACATTTGTAGATGGTCTAAAGCAAAAGAGTTGTAAAAATTCTGAAAATCTTTTAGAGCTTATGATTTGTTAAAAAAATGTAGGCTATTTTACTTTTAATTTAATTAGAAGTAGGCCAACAGTACCCCTACAGATTAAAACTCCTTACAGAACAGGCATTAGGACCCAGGGGAGGCTGCTGCTGCTGCCACTGCATGAGCTATTACGGTTTACTCTATCATACACCTAAGGTGTCATTCTGTATGTGCTTTCTCAGTTTAAATGCAGCGATCCAACACAGTGAATCCAATCACTATTCAGGCAAAACTTTGCTTCAAGAATGAGCCACACTGCTGATGTGATCTAATCACTAGCACACCCTGAGCACATTTGAGTTAACGTATTCCTCTTATCGGTAAGACATATCGGCATAAATTTTCATATCGGGCCAATGCCGATATTTACATTTAAAGCCATTATCAGCCGATTTCGATATCAGTCCGATAATATCGTGCATCCTTAATTAAAACAAATCATTGTCACTTATCCATCCCTCACCTGCTCCTCTGTCATCAGGCCCTGCACCAGGGGAGTCCATGTCACCAGTGCCTGGTCCGTCATGCCATGGCCGTTTGCGTGGTGGCAGCGAGGCCATATCCATGCCCTGTAGAGAGGAGGAACGCTCTCTACTGGCTGGTGAAGGACTGTCATGCATATTGTGGTCTGGCTGCTGACCATCCCGATAACTCTCATGACCTGAACACACATACACACCAGCATAATTTGTTTTGGATCCTTGATGTTAAGCTTGAACTATGCAACACTTTTACATAATGCTTATGCCAAGTGTATGCTACACGACTAAGGAAAAAAACAATACCCAAACTGCTTTACTCTTATACAACATTCGTTGTCTTGATGTGGCACAGGTGGACACACTATATCAGGGGTGTCAAACTCAGTTCCTGGAGGGCTGCAGCCCTGCAGAGTTTAGTTCCAACCCTGCTCCAACACACAAACCATGTAGTTTTCAAATAAGCCTGAAGGATTTGATTAGCTATATCAGGGGCATTTAATTAGAGTTGAATCTAAACTCTGCAGGGCTGTGGCTCTCCAGGAAATGGGTTTGACACCTGTGCACTATATCAAGTGTCGACAATGTACACTCAAATTTACACATAAATCAGATCCTTAATATGTAGTGTGTAAAACATTTTCTCATGAAAACATCCAAAAAAGTGACAAAATCTATTTAAAGGGGTCCTATTATGCTCTTTTCCAAAGTCTTGATTTTGGTTTGGGGGTGTACTAGAACAGGCTCTCATACTAGGTTGTTTGAAAAACATTCTTTTTTCACATATTTTACATTACTACAACACCTCTCTTCCCAGTCTGGCATGAACGACTCGAATAGTTCCTGTATCAAATGAAGGCCCACCTTCTGAAATACGAAATGTGTTGTGATTGGTTAGCTGGGCCAGTGTGTGTTGTGATTTGCACCACTCGGCGCCGGGTCGGGAAATGTCATGCCCCTTACCATAGCCGCCTACGAGCTTCAGTGTAAATATTGCGTCAATATCAAATAAATTTGAGCGCGAATTAAACCCGGATGTTTGTAACCACTCTAAGTTCGTCTGCCTTGGGAAAGCTAGCGCGTCTCCGACATAGTGATAACACTCGAGGGTTATTTCATCCAAAAATGAAAATTAGCCTATGTTTTACTCACACTCAAAGCATCCTAGGTGTATGCGACTTTCTTCTTTCAGACGAATCCAATCGGTGTTATATTAAAAATTGTCCTGGCCCCTCCAAGCCTTTTAATGGGGGTAAGCGGGTGTTTGTTGTCAACAGTTGAAATAAAGTGCACGCATCCGTAATAAAACGTCCCTCACACGGCTCCGGGGGGTGAATAAAGGCCTCCTGTAGCGAATCCATGCATTTTTGTAAGATAAATATCCATGTTTCAAACGTAATAAACACTTTTTTCTCACTTCCGCTGACTGTGGTACGTGAAAGTAGTGCAGGCGGATGACGTAGGAGATATGCAGGAGCAAAGGAAAACAAAGTTTCCTTACTTTAGCAAAGGCAAACCAGTCTCCTCTTGGCTTATATCAAAATCCTCTGACATTTTACTTTACAAATCCTCGTTTTGTTCTTCTAATTCGTGACTGGAGTTTTGTTTTGTTTTGTCTCCACGTTCGTCACTAATCACGCAACGCCGACGTTCTACGTCATCCGCCGGAATGGCTTCCACGTTCCACAGTCAGCGGAAGTGAGAAAAAAGTGTTTATTACGTTTGAAATATGGATATTTATCTTACAAAAATGCATGGATTCGCTACAGGAGGCCTTTAGTCACCCCCCGGAGCCGTGTGAGGGACGTTTTATTACGAATGCACGCACTTTATTTCACGTCTTCTGAACTGTTGACAACAAACACCCGCTTACCCCCATTGAAAGGCTTGGAGGGGCCAGGACAATTTTTAATATAACTCTGATTGGATTCGTCTGA